CTGAATGAGGCAACATTGGCAGCGTGATGACTCAGTGATGACTCTGTGTATTGAATGCTGTGCTGAACTTCTTCAGAGACAACACCACATTTTTATTTGGTAACAGCAATGACAAAATCGTTGGTAGAAATGGTGGCGGATTTGCTGACACTTCAGTAGAGACTTCGGAGCTTCAGCGGTTTATTTTTTCCTGATGCTTTCGGCTCACCAGTATAGTCAATATAACCAGTTTTCGCAGGACAGTCCTGTTGTTTCTCGACTTTGTGCTTATTTTCCCTTTTGCGCAAGGGATGAAGATTGATCTTAGCACAACAGACTTGCTGGTATTGTGCTATATTAATAAATCTATATAATGCTTTTGTGCCAGCAAGACGCAGCACTGCAGATCACATCACATCACATCACATCAATGTGTCATGATAGCTATGGTAACTTCAATGGTAACCATAATTTAGTTTGTGCTTCCAAGAATTCTGACACCCAAATCTGTTCTGTTCTGGGCTTTGTTTCCTGCACTGATGCCATGGCATCCTTCTACTCTGGAGGGCAGGATGTCAGAAGACCCCGGCGGTAGCGAGAGCGAGCAGAGCGAGCAGAGCAAGCCGCTCCAGCCTTTGATGTCAAACTCAATCGGAAGATCGTGGCTTTGGACAGCGGGGCAGCCATCCTTGGCTTCGTGGAATCACGACGCTCGGAATTTGAAGAAGCACATTTGGTCACCGCGCTGCATCGCCTTGCGAAAAGCCGGGACGGTCATGCACTGCTGGGTAACGCAGTGTTGAGGGATCTGATTCGTTCGCTTCATCTTCGGGTGCAAAGTGCAGATGCTGCGGATGCTGCGGATGCTTCAGCTAATGCAACGGGGTCATTGCGCGCGGTGATGACCCCGCGACATCTTGCCAATACCGTTTGGGCGTTGGCTCGATTGTCAGCTAATGAAGTGCAGTTGACTAAGGAGACCAATGCAAGCCACAGCTGTAGCGGGCTTGGGGTAAGAGTCCTTGGTAGCATATGCTAGCATTGGTAATTAGCTGCATCCGATTGCGTCCATGTAGGGAAAACGGGGCCATAGCTTTTGGTCTTTGCTTGGGTGCAGGACATTGTCCGTGTGGCTGCCACGCAACTCCGGGAGTTCAAGCCGCAAGAGCTGGCAAGCACTATTTGAGGGCAGGCATTGCCTATCAACACCTTGAGTTGCCAAAGTTGGTGGAATTTGATAAACAATGATGCCTCAAGATATCCTCAAGATATTTCAAGCTTCTTTTCCAAAGAGAGGGAAGGTGAATGCAAATGACTGAAAGCAAGGAAAGTAAAACGACACTCGGAACCATGTTTTCAGCACCAGGCAGCCTTGCGCTTTCATGATGTGCCGTTCAGCTCTGCTATTGCAGATGAAGCTGCTTGCAGAATTGAAGGTGCACAAACGAAACGATGATGTAAGTTGCAAATTGCACTGTGAAGCTTTTCAGACGTTACTGGTCTCCACCTCGCATCCTTTTCTCAGAGCCTGCTTTGGACTGAAAGCTTCTCTTTCGACAATTCTTATTTGGAAATTCGGAATGGATAGCCGCTATAGCCCGCATTGGGAATTCTGTGTGCAGGCTTTGACCCTCAGGGTCTCTCTGGCACTGCTTGGGCTTTGGCTCAGCTGGGCTTGGAGAGCGCTGCCTTCTTTGGGGCGCTGGCAGAAGCAATTGTAAGGCGTTCTGCAGAGTTAGGAGAACCGCAATGATGCAGAACTTTGCAGAGTTGGGTGTCTAATTTCCCAACGCTTTAAGCTGGGCAAAACTGTGGCTGTGCACCTGATAGATCAGGAGCCCAAGAGATTTCCAACATCGCGTGGACATGTGGCAAGCTGCGGCACCAACACTCTGCTATGATTGATGCTCTCTCAAGTAGGGGGATAGAAATTCTGGATGAGTTCATCAGTGCAAGCCTGAGTTCTTCAGATGCAAGTTGCAATGACAGTGGTTCGGAGATGTTCGGAGAACACTTGCTTCTTCTACTCATTCCTTGAGCCTTTGACTTTTTGAGATTCGTGATTCCTTGGCTAGGTCAACACTTGTCCAACACTATATGAAGACTGGCGCGGCTTCAGTGTTGCCATGTTCCTTTGGTGTTTGCCTCTGTTTGCCCCTGTGCGCTTGACATATCTTGATATGTTGAGAATGTTGAGAACGTTGTGTCAGATGCTCAGATGGGAACGACTGACGCCCAGGTGGCAGCCATCTCAGAGCAGGCCATGCGGAAGCTTCCGATTTTGACGGCACAGGCAAGGACGGCATGACATGGACGGGGGGGGCGATGGCGAGAGCACATTTTGAAGAACAAAGCATTGAACGAACTACACCGAACTACAACGAACTGCCAGGACCTTTGCAGCACGGCTTGGTGCTTGGCCATCCTCGAAATGCGAGACTGGACGCAACGCACTCAGCTTGGCACATAGTAAGTCTAGGTAAGCGAAGACTGTGCAGACTCAAAGTCAATTTCAATGGAAACAGCCCCAGTCAGTGCATTTTCACTCCAAGGATTTGTCTTGTCCTATCTTGTCCTCATATATCTTAAATTGTTGTTTGCTGCGGAAAGTGGAAACAAGGACGGATATTTCTGCGAGCATTAGCAGATATAGGAACGACAGCTGAGTTATTTTCATGTCATACGCATCGCCGTCCGCCAAGAAGTAAGTTCTTTTCGAGCCACGAACTGGATAGTCCTGAGAAATCCACATAGTCAAATGCCTGGCAGCATTGTCAGCTGCCACCAAGCGTTTGCTAGTTACTGCTAGTTTGAAAACTTTCGCCAATGCTCTGGATGGATTGAAGAGATTGAAGAGATTGACATGGAATGAGGAATGGCTTAAAATTGATGAAATTCATCAATTGATTCAACATGTTATAACATGTTCATCGCCGCTGTCGAGGTTGCTGGAAGCCGTGTGTGGTGCAGCACTTTCAAAGATCAAGGCGATGGCATCCGATGGCGTGTGCAGTACGTGTTCCCCAAATCTGTAGGGTCACTGGGAAAAACACGTGCTGTCACGCTGTGCGACAGGCTTGCGGGGCGCAAGGTGTTGCCAATCTGGTTTGGTGCTGCGCCACGTTGTTGGGATCCCAAGTCGAGACATTTGCCGGGTTTTGAAGGGATAAGATTTATCAAGATTCATGAGATACATGTGAGATACATGTGAGATACATATATGAGATACATGAGCATACAGCAACGGTCAGGTTGTATGTGAACATGCCTTTGATCGATGCCATCGCCCACGAGTGTCTCAGCCTCAAGCATGGGCAAGATGTGTTGCAGCCTCACCAGCTTGCGGTTTGGAGGCTGTGGTGCGATTATTGAATATTGGCATATAATTTACATGATATGTGAAGATATGCATTCTGTACACACACACACACATACATGCATGCATGCATATATCAAAATGGGGTTTGGTCGATATTATTCGTTAGTAGTGTTTCTTTAATGTAAATATAACACACACGCACACACACACATATATATATATGATATGTCATTAAATGTCATTATATGTGCGAATGTTTAGTCGCATTCTGTGTTTTGCCTGTGTTCTTCGATGGCATACTAAAGTTTCGTGGTTGTAATTTGTCCTTTGAGAACCATTGGTGGCAAGGTCCTTGTCACCGATTGCACACCTTGCACGATTGAAGCAAAGCCAGGTTTACCACCATGTCCTCGACGAATTCTGCTCTGGTTTACATATGCATGGTTTATTCAGGAAAACCCCGCCCAGGTTCTCCCAGTCCATTCCCCCAACTGTTTCCACCCAGGTTAAATCCCACAAAATCGCAGGAAATCACCAATTTCCTGGGAGAACCTGGGAGAACTTGGGCGGACCCGAGCAACAGAGACAGGTTTGATGTTCAGTGAGATGCTCAAGTTTTCAAAGGTGGATTGGGCCACCAGCTCCATGTGGAAAGCACCATTGTTGAATCTGGGTTTTCGACATTCTCGATATTGCTTCGCATCCTGACACGCATCAACATGACTTTCTCACACTTTTTTTCTTTCCCACGGCTCTCTGGCATGGCTGAAGTTGTCTTTGCTGCAAAAGTTAGTTCGGGGAAAAATAGGAGGGTGGCCCGCTATTTTGACTCACAATTTTTTAATATCTGCCGCAGGCGTTGCCGCTCCCTTTGGCCTGCAGGTTTACCATGCTTTAGAGTTTAGTTATAAGAAGGGATATGGCAATATATATATATATACAAATTACACACGCACAACACACGCATATATGTGTATATATATATACGTTACCATATATATATATATAGATCATCTAATCTTTGATATGTCTATACAGTCTACACGCATGTATAGATACAAAAAGTAGTAGCCTCAGGTGCTTAGGACGATACAACGGTTCGACAATGTTCGACAATGTTCGACGATGTTTGACGATTCATGAGTTCGCGTGGCCGCAGCCCGGGCCGCTGAAGCCGAGGCCTGGAGACTTGTCTTCGTTTTGACGCTCCCGGTGCAAACGCATGGAATACCTTCAAATCTCAGGAGCAGGCGCGTCATGTGCCACGTGTTGCGACTTGTTGCCACGTGCCATGGAGAGTCCTTAGCAGGTGCCAATGTTCCAATGTTCCAATGTCCAATGCGTGTCCGAATGTGTGTAGTTTGAAACTCTTGCCGACTCTTGCTGCTAAACTTCGCGAGGCAAATACAGCATGAGGACTTGCCAGGCAGCCAGCGGTTTCATACTGATGACTCTCGACCGCTTGTGTGGGCCTGTGGACAGGCTGAACGTGCGTTATGATCCCCTTTTGGCCGCTTTTAGTGCTGCTTCTGCTGCAGGACCCAGTGACATCAAATTACATCATGTTATATGTAGGATTATCATGGATTATCTATGTTCTCTAGGTGCACATGACTGCCCAAATTCCGATCTAAACGATTTCAAACTAATGAATTTCACATTGCGCTCTGGACTCTGCTGACCGTCTTGGCTTCTAGGACTGATGGCAGCTTCGCCGCAGGACAGGTTGCATTGCAATGGTTGGAAACCAAAGCTTTATCAATAGAAATCTGGATGCTAAAATGATCTCAATTGGAGTTCCCTATGATTTCAGCGTGACTGGGTCAGGACATTTCAAGTACAGCATGGTCCTTTGCTAAGCAAGGCTATGCAGGCAAGTTTCACACAATAATGTTCGATGATGGAACAAAGCATTACAATTTATGATATTATTCTTCAATAGATTATGTGATGCAATTCATCATTCTATACAGTTCAGAGTTCAACTAGTTTAGGGTGTGCACTTTTTCTCGGCATTTTTGGCCTTTGTCGCAGGCACTTCCTTCTTCCAAGCTCTTGTGCTAGTGTTGCCATCGCGCTTGCCCCAATTTGGAGCGCAGGAGAGGCCAAAGTTAGTGCTATTGGAGGCAAGTCTTGAAGACTGTGGCCAAATTGGCTGTGTCCATGCAGTGTCCTGAGAAGTATCTCCGTATGTATCATAGTATCATAGTATCTCCTTCAATTTGCACATCTCCATATTCATCCATATTCCATGTATCTCCAGCATTCGCTCCTGAGTTCCTGGTTACATTTTGCTTCGATTTCTTGCCACACATTGCCACAGCCACATGCCGCAAGGAGATGTCCAACAGCGTGTGGGCCTTTGCAACGCTTTTGCTGTCTGCCGACCCGTTGCTCGCTTCAGTTGCGGAGGCCAGGCCAGTTTTAGCAGTTTTGCATGGTTTTGGCATGTTTTTACGACGTGTAACAAGAGGTGTGACAAGAGCTGTCAAGGCATCATTGCATCTACCCCAGCCAACACAGTATCGGACGGCTGGACCGATTTCACTCTCTTGTTTGGTTAGATCTATTGTGAAGCTGAATCTAGTGGCTTGAATCTCTGCAGGGTACCCAAGACGGGCATCCCAATCCCCGTTTGGCGTGGCATGGCAGGCAGCGTTGCCAAGACTTCGCACTTGGCGCCCACAGGACGACAGAGACAGAATCCGACAGAGTCCGACAGAACGATTTTGGCAACGCTGGACCCAGTGGACCCAGTGGACCCAGTGGACCCAGTGGATCCTGGTACGCCACGAATTCGGACGCAGGAGTTGGCCAACACCGTGTGGACATACGCGCGCCTGTGCTTCCTCCATGAGGATTTGATGGTTGGAATTGCAGACCGTTTGATGGTGTTAAGGTGAGGCCTGGAAAGGCTTTGATAATTTTGAAGTCTTTCCAGTCTTTCCTACTTTGTTGCGTGGTGTCACGCGAGATGCTTTCAAAATCTTTTAAATGTGGTCTTTTGATGTCTCTTGATGCAGGTCAACTTCTGAGGTTGGCACCTTCACAGTGCAGGCCGTGGCGCAGACCCTCAAAGAGTTTTGGAGCAACAGCGGCCAGATGCGGCCAGCCTGGTTGGTAAAGCCTGTTCACCATCCAGGGTTGACATGGCTGGGGCAAGCTTCAGTTCGCAGGAGATGGTCAACACCGTATGGGGTTGCGCTCAGGCCCAACCGTTGCTTGTTGCTGGGCTGTCGCGACTGACGGCTGTGGTATATAGGCCACTTAGGCAATTCAAGCGATGCTGTGACAGCACGTGTCACAAGTGGCTTGCACCCTTGGTCCGAACATGGATCCTCAGGTGATGTTCTGCCATGAGAAACTCTTGGAGTCCATCGGGCAGACAGCCATCGAGCAAGCCAGTCTTTCCTTCAGGGGGAAAACCCTTCCAAAAAAACCATGAGAGACAACAAGAGACATCAAGAGACCATGAGATGCTGAAATTTTGGCTGTGGCGGTGCGCTGTGTACTTGTTGGGTCTTCCACACTGATTGACCAAGGTGAGTGGCATCCAAGAGATTTGGCCAACACAATATAGGCAGAGCCTCGAAAGACTCGCATGGGCGGCGGGGACGGGCAGGCATCTATTGAATCTATTGGGCAGAACGTGGAAGGATAGCACCAGTGGATGGACTGTAGTGACTGTAGCACTGTTCCGGCTTCGAAGATGGGCAGGCTTGGGCACGTTTAGTCCTGACGAACGAGAAACTTGCTCGTGCCATTGGCAGCGCGTCTTTGGCAAAGATCGACCGCATGAATCAACAGGACAGTCAAGTTTTGATATGCTTTGATGATCTTTGATGATCTTATGAGATGCTTGGATTCTTCTTACTGTTCAAAGTGTGAGCAAAGCACAGCCTAACCCTCAAGGATCTGTTTGCTGTGCCTTGCTGTGCCTTGCTGTGCCTTGCTGTCCCTTGCTGTGCCTGACCCCAGGATTTGGCCAACACAGCTTGGTCCTATGCAGCTCTGGAGATCCAGGCGGACAATTTGGGAGTGTCAGAGGGACAGATGTCTCATGCTTCAGATATTAACAGAAAATGGCCCTCTTCAGATCTCGGTCCAGGATGCAACCTTGATCCTGGCCATCGCGCAGCGCGCGCTGGTTGTCTTCTCATCAGAGACTAAACTTGAGGCCGAGCATGGCTGAGCTACTGAGCCTGCCATTTTGACACACGTGGACGGAGCTTCTGAACGATTTGTTGTGAAAAGGAATACACACATTGAACTTATTGAACCCTGTTTGATACTGACACGCAAACACACACACACACACGGTATATACACGCACATACGGTAGATACATACACACACACACACGCACACACACATATATATATAGAGGTGATCAATAGAATAATAAATGATAATAATACGAATAACCAAACAAACAAATAAATAATAGATAAAGAGACAAATATATGCACACGATTGCACATGCGCTTAAGGATTCCAAAGACTGATTCCCCAAAGAACACACAGATGAAACGGAATGTATTCTGCACGAGCACACCTTCAGCAAGCAGCACAAAATTGAAAATGACACTTGCCAGAGGAGGACATGCAACAAGAGAACTTTGGTTGCTTCAGCCGAAGTTGGCTTTGGACATGCTTTGCTTTCGCTTCAGGTGGCTCGTGATCTTGCTCTTCTGGCCTGGTCATTAGCCAAGTGTTGGCCTTAATGAGTCATGGATCACGGCCACTGGCAGTGGTTTTCACACACAATAACAATGGCCACTTTTCCCGGTGTCAGGGTGTGCACTCACTTTGGTTCTTCGGTTTCGTGAGGTTGAGTTTGGCAACTCTGCCAATCATGAGCTCAATATCAGAGCTGATGATGAAGCAAATCCATGCCAAAAGCAGTGGTCCGCAGGCAGGTGTTGAGACCAGACAGTGGACGAAGTAATGTTTTGGCCGCAGAAAACTGTGAAGTCAGAAGAACAGCAGATGTTGGCGGCAAAGACTGGATTAGTCAATGTCAAAAGGTAGTTGATGAGCAATGGATAACACGTGGAGAGCTAGACCTTTGAGATGTTCGATGACACTCCCAGTCTTGAGACGTGTGTTTTTGCTCCAGCCCAGGCGCTTGCGAACAGTGCTTGGGCTTTCGCTACCAGTGCTATCAGAAACGAGCAGCATGGCAAAAATTAATACCACAGCAGGACTTCATTTATATTTTTGTTCCTTTTTTTATTTAAACACTGTTTAGAATTTCATCGGCTCATTGCTTTGATATTAACCCCCTTTGCGAAGGAACATGCTGAACTATTCCTGAGCGACTGACACCAGATGACACCAGTTTCGTTTGCAGGCCCTTATTCGAGGCCATTGCCAGGCGGGAGCAACGCAAGCCGACGAAAGGCGTGTCAGGTGATCCACACAGATCCACACAGTCCATCAGCTGCCAGGCTGTCTCTAGAAACCCTTGCCGAGTTCGATCAGCAGGAAAGTTTGGGAAAGGGGCCGTGAAAGTCACACATTTTATTGTCCATGGATGTCCCTGTCTCTGGATGCCACCGGTCCCCGGAAGATCTTTGATGCAGAGGGTATGACTCGCTGTGCAACCGTTTTGACCCCCATTCATACTCAATCACAATTCAAGCCCGATTCTCCCCGATTCATGAAATTTGCTTGCTCCCTGCGTCTCTTTTGATTGCCGGCAAGGAGCTGACTAATACGTCATGGACATTTGCTGAGATACGGTGCCGCAACATGCCCTTGATTGAAGCAAGGCCTTGGCTGAGAATCAGTGAAAGAGTGGGTGAAACTCACAGAGAACGGTAGTGACAGTAGAAATGGTGGGTAGTACCTGGTAGCATTGCATTGTAGCTGGCAGTATTTTCAAAATCTGTGCTGCGCTATTGTTTCTTTGGCTGTCAACAATTTCTTAGGAATCCTACTGGAATTTGTGCATCACCTTGGCTGACAGTTCAGTGGCAATCCTCGGCGCCCTGAGTAATGGCATGACGGAGGAAGAGGCGAAGAAGTCGTGGGGAATCCCTGACTCTTGCGACCTCTAAAATGACTACCTTGACTACCCTGACTGCTAGCTGTGACTAAGCATGGCCAAGCCAAAGGCTGCAGAATAGAACGCTTTCACTTGGAGTATTTCGACATATTTCGACCATTTGCTAATCGTGCCAGGTGGCGCGAGGTGGATATGCCATGGCGTGGGCACAGGCAGACTTGGCTTCTTAGCTGTCCAAACAGTGCTATAAACCCTGGGTTGATTCGCAGAACCACATTCTTTGGGGAGTCTTGACATCAAATCCCCAGCTTGTCTTCTCTTGAAACCATGGGGTTGAAACATGTTGAAACCGGGTTCAAGTGGCTTCCAGTTTCAGCGAAGCTCCAGGACCGCCATGGCCGTTCAGACCTCTCCCGAGCTTTGGTTTCACACTTCATCGCTGGAGCCTCACGGCATCGCATGGCATGGCATGGCACAGCTCGCCATGGCTTCGAGGCAGGTGCCCGGTGCCACAGCATGGCCTGGGGCCTGGTGATTCAAGACGAGGACTGTATGGCCCGGCTGTTTTCGATGATCATAAGAAGTCATAATATGTTGATAAATGTTGTAATGTTTTGATAGATCATGTCCTAGTCTGTCTTTGTTAATCTTTCGGCCTTTCGGTATTACTGTAGATTAGGTAATGATTGTTGCCTCATTCTGCCAATGGAATGCCTAAGAGTATTGCAGCCAATTGCATCCAATTGCCAGCTACCCTTTGCTGTTACACTCCGTCAGGAGTGGCGCCACAACGCCCCGCCGCATGGCGCAGTGTGTGCCCTGGAGGTGCCAAAAATTGTTGGTGTGGCAAAGTGCAACAATTCTCAAACAGCAAAATCTTTGCCCGAGAATTCCTTTCGGTTTGCAGTTTTTCTATGCTGTAATTTTTCGTCTGCGTGGTGAAAGGCTATGGCACAAACTGCTGATTTCGGCAAGGATTCAGCAGAGTCATGAAGCAAAAAGGTGTTCTTTCTTTTTTGGGGTGTATGGCCGAAAGCACGGCTGGCATATGCTGGCAGGTTGGGGGTGTCGAACCAGGTTTGCTGTTGAACTCGATGTGACGAAGTGCTATATGGCTGCTATGGCTGCTATGGATTTTGCCAAATCTTCAAGGTCCTTGCGGCTCAAGATCCAACATTGGAAGCAATGAAAAGTGAAAAGTCATGACTTCATGACGACTTCACGACTCAGTACTCACAGTACTCCGGACATGTCATGACTCGGCCGATGCCTTCTTTAAGTTCTGGGCAGAGTTGGAGATGCTCGAAGGACCCGAAGGAGAAGCCATCTCTGACATGGCAAGGTTCCAACACTTTGCGGTAGCCTTTGCATTGAATATGTCAAAACTATATAGTCAAAACTATTTAACCTAATGATTTCAATCATTTTCAATCTACTGGATTAGACTCGATTAGACCAGGCTAAGCAACACTATACACGATAGATACAGCATGATACAGCTATACCCTGCAGCCGCCTTGTTTGGGTAGGGAAGGTGATACGCGTAACAATTCAAGCTCAGCTGTATCGGCTCATGGCAACCTCAAGACGTTGCCGCCCAAAAGGGTTCCAGAGTAACTTCCGCGAGAAGCTGATTGTCAAGGTATCAAACTCATTGTCAAGGCCGCGTGTCTTTTATAGGACACTATGGACACTGCTTCTAGCTCTGACCCTTGCCGTTTTTGTCCCTCAGCTGGCTTTCATGGCGAAAAGAGCGATGCCACAACCCATCGTCTTTGTGACGGGCAACGCCAAGAAACTAGAGGAGGTGTGGGATTCAGAAAAAATTGGAACACGTGCCAAAACGCAAATAGGCAAACTGCATGAAAACTATACAGACTAGATTTGTTAGCTGTGCCCACAGACTCTAAGACAGACTCTAAGACAGCCTCACTGTGAGGTTAAGCAAATCCTCTCATCGGGCTCAGAGGAGTTGCCCTTTGACGTCACTTCGCAGAAGGCTCGGATGCTTTTGATCCTTCACCCCCAAGGGAAACCTATCTGATTAAGTCGGATGCGTTTACAATGTGAGTGAGAAATATAACTAAGAGACATGAACAAATGGATGAATAGAAACAGATAAGGAAGAAAATAGCATCCATAGAACAGGTATCAACATGTTCACCTTCATGTGTAACCATTGTAGATATCTGTCATTATATCAAACATTAGCCTGTTTAAGTGCCTGTTTCTGTCAATTTATACGTATAGAGTCTCTTTCTCCAAAACACAGCCCCATACATAGCCCCATACATCGCCCCATGCATAGCCCGGATTGATGTAACTGATGTTGATATTCAAATTCACAGTAAAATTTACACCCTGACCCTACCTTCAAGGATTATCCATGCCCCATTTTCTTTAAGTCTTTAAATGTGCATGTGCGTGTGCACAATCGTTAGCATGTTTAAATGGCTGTTTCTGTCAAGATTTCCGTATAGAGATCTTTTCTCCAAAGCACAGCCCCATACATAGCACCATACATAGCCCTGATTCAAGCCCAGATTGATGTCAAAACTGTTGTTGATATTCAATTTCCCAATAAAATTTTCACCCTAACTTCGTGGAAACTTCCCGAACTGCCGAAATGTCCAAGAGCAGCAATGCCCTTTTTGAAAAGCCAGCTGCGCACAGTTGGAATTAAGAGCGCTGCAGGATTAGTCCAATAGGAAGCTTTAAAACAAGTTTGAAGTTTAGGCACTTGTTGAGTTTGGACATGATATGTTGCGATGTGATTCATATGATGTGATGGTATGACTTGACCTATACGACTTATGACATGATGCAAATTGACATTGCATGACTCCATGTGGAATGTTATGGTATATTATTTCGGTACGATTTGTGTCTCTGTCTATGTCTATATACCGTGGAATTACCATAGTGTGGAAACATGGAAGAAAGGGCTCCGTGATTTGATGTTGTCATGATGAAAATATTTGATGCGATACATGGTGATAAGATGTGGTATGATGAAATGATACGATACTAAAGTAGTATAAAATGATATGTGTTGAAAATGAAGCGAAATGATTCAACATGCAATGATGTTTTAAATCATATGATGAATGATTAAGATATCAGATATCCGTAAAAGAAAACAAGTTGAAAAATATTGTTCAAATAAATACAGAAAACACTACTTTGGGATGCACAAAGAACGGTTCAGAACGGTTCTCTGATGAAAACTTCGCCCCTCAAAGAACGGTTCAGAACCGTTCCGTTTCCGTAACGGTTCAGAACGGTTCAGAACGGTTCTGAACTATTTGCGTTTTTTGGTACTTTCTACAAAGAACGGTTCAGAACGGTTTCCTGGCATATGTCTTGGGGCTGTGTTTTGGCACATGTTTTTTCCATATCAAAATTTTAAGTTGAAAACGTGGTCTTAAAGCTGTGGAGTTATTAATGAAAGGGAAGGGCAGTTTCTATATTAAAAAATGTCGCAGCAAAGAAAAACGTCTCACACTGTGTAAGTCGTAAAAGAGAAGTCGAATATTAATAAAAGTAAACATAACAATCACAATTTAATTTATGCGCTGCACAAAGCCTTGGAAAGGCTCAATCCCCAGCTCCGATTTCACAGCCGTTTTTTGTGTTGTAGAGTCCTTCCTCTTCAGGTCCTTCCCAGGTGGATTGAAGCCGCGAAAATCATTTAAGACAACAATAAACACACAAAAAACTCCCAAAAGCTGGTCCAAACGTGCCCAAACACCATGCGTAAACACCCCCACAATAGTTCAGAACCGTTCTGAACCGTTCTGAACCGTTCCTGGGGGGAAGTTTTGGTGGCAAAGTGGAACAAAGTGCACCCCAAAGTGCAGCCCAAAGTGGGAACCAACCCCATGTCACAGAATCAAAAAGGAGAATCCTGACTATCCCTACTGGGTCAAATTTCCATATCAGCTCTGAGAAGTTCTCAGCATGTAAGGTGCGCCCAAGCGCCTTGGCCGCCACTGTTGGCGCCTGCAAATCGTCCAAATCCAAACGATCAGTGCAATAGCCCCAGCCTAAGCTACATCCCGCACAACCAGCCAATGGAAGAGGTCACTCGAAGCAAAGGCAATTTCCTGCCAACGCTGGAGAATGATTGAAAAGGAGCAAATTTTGAGATAATCACAGACTCAAAATCAGAATCGTTATAGCACACAAACAGGGGTCAGCACGTAATCAATGTCAGTTGTCATCACAGTATCCAGCCAAGAAAAGTCACTGAAAAATGAGCATATTCTTGCCAATGCGCAGAAGTATGTTTTACCGCCGTGCTACCCCTAGCTCAATCTTGGCCTGCTCTTTGCAGCTATGGATCAATCCGGAAGGTGACCAGATTCCCGGCAATGCACCGTGATGAATTGGACCATATTCGAAGTTGCCCTTGTCATAGATCTCCTGCTGCACACCAACTATATAGCAACGGCAGATTCCAAGTGCCAAGCATTGGGGGGGCGCCGTGCCCATGAAAAGGAAAGAGGTTTCAAGTTGCCTAAAAAAACATGTCGGAATTTCATTCAGCCAGTCTAGACATCAGACCATCCAACACTACCTTGACACCACGTCCTCCACACTCGACAAGTCTCTGAAAACTGCTACGCGTCTTCGCGTGCAACTTCAGATGGTGCAAACGTTGATGTAGCAGCAGCTTCCTTACATCAAAGGAGCTGACGGGAAGTGGGAAGAGTGCCCCAAGCACTGTACAGCACTCTCACAAACTCCCTGCCCAACGTAATTGCAATGTATGGTATGACCATTGCAATGAAATTCAAAAAATGCCACCCGGTGTCAAAATAGCAAAAAATGATTTGCTACTAGATGTCTGGGGCTGGTTCATCATCACTACTGCCGCTGGAATCGCTGCTGCTGCCAAAATCTTCGCCGTGCAAGCGCTTCATGGCAATAGCCCCCGGTCAAACATCAAAATCAGGTTGTCAAAAATGCTTCGTGAACTCAATAAGTATGTCACTATGCGGTTACAAAATCCAAGTCTCAAGCAAAAAACACCTATTCCATGAAATCATTGAAATCACCATGCTCAAGCCAAAACCCTATGGGCTGATGGCCCTCGATGACTATGCTCAAAGTGTGGCACTGGCGCTCCAATATGTTGTCCAAACAGACTTGGGTCACCTGACTCAAGAGATTTGTTTCATACCAAGATTGATTGTTTTCAGACCCAACATGGGTCTTTAACATACATTGGGGCTCCATTTGGGGCTGCTCATGGGCTGCCCCATGGGCTGCCCCATGGGCTCCACATTTTGCATACGGACATGGCAACAGACAAACAGGCTAATGTTTGATATAAGTCAGAAGATAATTATCAACGAGGACATTCTTCTAGAGAATGTGAAGTTATGTCAGTTACTTGTATGTTACTTGTATGTTACTTGTATGTCATGTTATGTCGTTTAGTTGTCGCATGTTGTGGCTTAGTTACTAAGTTCTCGGTTTTCAGGTGGACCTTCCAGAGCTGCAGGGCGCCACCTGCGAAGAGATCGCCATCCAGAAGTGCAAAATGGCGGCAGAGCACGTCAAGGGCCCCGTGATGTGCGAGGACACCTCCCTTTGTTACCACGCCCTCAAGGGTCTACCAGGCACCACATTTTCAACAGATTTCAACAGATTTCAACAGCATTTGCAGAATCGTTATGCACTAAACCGCTTCAGAACACCTTGCGTATTGTAGTGACATCGTAGTGTGATGTACAATGAAGTTCTGCTGGAAGACTTGAAACAAGCTTGAACAATCTGGAAAGGAGAGAAGAATGAGAAGACACCGCTCTCACAAGCTGTGCATAGCTGTGCCATGCTGTGCGATGTCAGGTCCTTACATCAAGTGGTTCCTTCAGAGCTTGGGCCATGAGGGCTTGAACAAGCTCTTGGCAGGATACGAGGACAAGTCAGCCTATGCTCAGTCACTTTGCTAATTGGATCTAATTGGATCTAATTGGATCTAATTGGATCTAATTGGATCTAATGGGAGTATTTTCTGAGAATTTCAAAACTGAAAGGTTTTTATTCAGTTGGCGAGGCCAGTGTTCACTCCCATGAGTCGCAGGTCCCTGGATTGCAGCGCCATCTTAGGTGCCTTTTCACCCTTTGCGCAGGGCCTGGAAAGGAAGTTCGTGTCTTTGATGGGCGCACAGAGGGTAAGATAGTGGAGGCGAGGAAACTTAGTGCCTGACTTCTGAAAACTTAAGTTCTGCAAAACACAACAATAGCATAGTATATAGCATATAATTAGCATAAATTAGATTCAACATGATTCAACTAGCTTGAGACTCGACATAGCTTCAAACAGCTTCAAACAGCTTCAAACAGCTTCAAACAGCTTCAAACAGCTTCAAACAGCTTTTTGAATCTCGTCATCATCGATCTTCGCCTCCAGGCACGAGGTCCCAAGGACTTCGGTTGGGACCCCGTCTTTGAGCCGCTTGAGAGTGGTGGGCAGACCTTTGCGGAGATGAATAAGGACGGAGCGCAACAGCTGCGATCTTTCAGACCAGCTTTTGTAATACACTCACACGGATATACAATTATACATACATACATATAATTATACGTATATTATACGGGAGGCTACAAACCAGGTGGTTATGGGTTCCAACAACTAAAGTTGCGTCCCAATGTTATGGGCTCCAACAACTAAAGTCGCGTCCCAATGACACCTCGTTGTTTTCCTTGGCAATCTCAGTTTGAGTCGCCTTGAGCCAACGCATTGGCCAGGCAAAGCTTTGCAAAACCTGAGTGCGACAGGGTCACAAATTTGTAATGTAACCGCACTCCCCCTTGTCTCTTTGAGACAACCGGCTCTCAGTTCACCTTTTCCATCTCACCCACCTCCACATTCAAAGCACGGAGCCCATGTGGTGGTATTTGAAACCGTCAGGTTTCCATGAAGTTCCAGATGGTAACGGCCGTGCACCAACCAAATGTTTCTGCCCCCATTGAAGGCCAGAGAGCCACATTGGTCGCAGGCCGTGCGCTCAAAGATGCGCCTTGCGCACTTCAACTTCCCACATGTATTTTTCAGGTGGTACACCGTGCCACATCCAGTAACATATACCGAGGGAAGTGGTGGTGGTCCCAAAGCGGCTGGTGGAGCCTTGTAGTTTGGCCCCTGAGAGCTTGACGCCGCAAAGGCGGCAGGTGAGCCCGCGGTAGGCAAAGGTGGCCTAACCAGTGATGCCGCCTTCGGGATATCACCTCCAATTTCTGGTACTGGACAGAGAGGGCGAAGACCACCTCCACGAAGATGATAGGTGCCCGCAGCGCTCACACTTCCAGACACCTCAGTGGCATCCGTCCCGGGCGTGGTAAGCGTAGTTGGTCCAGGGCTCGGTTGAGCACCACCAGATTGAGTTTCTCCTTGAAACTCCGTTGGTTCACCATCTGGCGTTTGTTCGCCAGCATCAGACGTAGTGGCCCTCGAGGGCGGTCTCCGCCGCACTGCAAGGCCAGGACGGTAGATGCCCAAGTCGTTGAAGGCAGCCAAACGTCCCTTTCCATCTTTTCCTTTTCCTTTCCCAGGCAAGGATTCATTCTCTGTGCTTTCACCGTCACGTGGTGCATTTCCAGGAGCAGGAGGCCATGGTGCCCAAACTCCACGTAGTTCATCTGGTGAATCCTCCCTGGTTTCTGTTGTAGGAGGATGGTCCGAAGGTGACCTAGACCTGGAAGTTCTCGACCTCCTGGAAGATCTCGACCGTCTGGAAGATCTCGATCGCCTGGAAGACCTCGACCGCCTCGAAGTTCTCGATGACCTTGAAGACGAAGAGGACCTCAAAGGAGCAGCCACCACGGTGATAGGCGTCAGCCATCTTGCGATCAGAGCTCCCAGGATCGCCATCGCCAATCCATAGGCCAGCAGCAGGAAGTTTCCATCAGCGCCGAAGCCATCATCTTCGCTCGGTTGAGCGGCTACTCTACTGGGGAAAATAGCTACTGCTACCAAGGCTACGGCCATTGACCAGTGAGGGGGCGAAAACGTCGCCTTCAGCATCTTTTGGTTCACATTAGGAGAAAGTTTTTTCTCCCCCCCACCGTGCACGGCTACACTCAGACTACCCTGGACAGCCACCTGCGGAGGTGTGCAACTACGTTGAACCATTGAACAGTGAGAGGACGAAGGTGCTGCCTTCAGCATCTGCTGACTCACCCTAGGAGAATTCACTTTCTCCCTCCCACCGTCTATGGAAACCCCATAGCTACCTCGAACCTCAGTTGGAACAGAAGAACTTCTAACCCTTTCGGAAAACTCAATGACCCTTTCAGGAGCATGAATCACTCTTGGGGTTCCATGTTTCTTCCATTCGTCCAGAGTTTCATCTGAATTCAGACCTGGATGCTCCAGGTTAACCACGCAGAATGCATGAGTGCACAACTGCGTGCTCAAATTCAAAGACCCGCTTTCAAAGGAAGTGCAAGGCGTGAGTCGCCCATGTAGATCTTCTCCCGGATGTAGTCCCAAACTTGAAGACGAAGAAATCGAAGATTGGGCCCCTTGACGACCATTCTCCTCCTCCAGCGTCCAGGGCCCCTCCAGCGATCCACTGACGACCATACCACCTCCAAATTCGTCAAAATGACGACCAGTTGACTCATGTAGTAGAGCTCCTTCAGGAAGTAGAGCTCCTTCAGGAAGTAGAGACGACCCATGTCGGCTCCCTGGTGAAAAATCAAAAGGTTGAGGCAGACCACCATCACATAGACCTCCTCCAGGACGTAGAGACGAACTCCATCGATCGTCCACCGACGGTCGACGCCGAAGAGGACCACAATCACGTAGGTCTCCTCCAAGATGTAGAGACGACCCCTTTCGATCATCCCTTGAAACCAAAAATCGAAGAGAACCACCATCGTGTAGGTCTCCTCCAGGATGTAGAGCTCCTTCGGAATGTAGAGCTCCTTCAGGAAAAAGTGGCGACCCCCCAGGGACACCTCGAGGTTGACAAAGATCAGGACATAGTCCGAGATCATCCCACAGCGCGTCATCAGCCGGTAGAGCAAATTCATCATCAGGCTGTAGGTCTTGATCAGGATGTAGACGTAGAGCTCGAACACGGATCATCGCTTCTTCCTCCACGTACTTCTCATCCTTCAAATCTCGGTCAGATAAACCACCTTCTCGTTCTTCAGCAGGCAGTTCCAGAAGTAGATCGTGAGCCAGTTGCACAGCTTCCGAACTCGACAACTTAGACCGAAAGTCCTTCTCGTCAGAGTCATGGGACAAAGCTCGCTCACTGATCCTCAGCGCCTTGAGAGTAGAACCTGGTTTTTCAAGTTCCTGTTTCCATTGTTCGGGGTTCATCGGCAACAGACCCTGTTGTTTTAAACCCTCTACCCGTTTCTTCAGGTATACCCACAACCACAGCAACACAAGAGTTTTGGTTTTTTCATCATACGACCCAGGTTGTCCTGGCTGCATGGCCTTTGTTGCCATAAAGCCCAAACTGGCCGCCGCAATCTTGATAATCTCGTGGTTGAGCTTAAGGGTCTTCACCTGAACCTCCTGCTCCTTGGACTCTTCAGTGACCTGCGCTGCTGCGGCAGTGACCACGTTGAGGAACTTGAAGAAATAGGTCCAACGCTGCTTCGCACTGATGGCCTTGGTGAGGAAATCAGCCACCAACAGAGAACCTGGTAAATGTCGAATTGACCACCACTGTCGATGTCGAAGACGTTCTCGTAGGAAATGACTCCTCAGCCTCAAATGGCGTGACCTCCAAGCTCCCCCCTCCAGAGCACTCGCTACCGAAATGGCCGCAGTGTTGTCGCCATAGATGACTCGTTGGATCCCCATCGCTCCTTCTATGAACTCGCCCTCCGAAACCTTGATCTTCTCCCGGATGTAGAGCTCCTCAGACGCTTCTTCATCGTCAGATTCGACCACAGTGAGTTGACAAGGCACTTCTTCCAAGGCCTCAAGGATGCACCCCATCGAATCAGCCATGCCCATCGCCTCCACATACGAAAGGAGTTCAGATTCCGCTGTACTCAATGTGATGCAGCTCTGTCTGCTTGATTCCCACATGATTGGAGACCCACCGTAGAGCACAAGTACTCCTTGGATAGATCTTGAAGCTTGAGGTGCGAAGCTGACATCCGCATAGGCTTCCAATCTTCTCATTGATCGAGGAAAAGGAAGACCATCATCAGGTCCTCGATCAGTCGGATCACACCGACCGTACTCCAGAGCTGTACCCGTCGAACCGTTGATGTACTCCACGACCTCCTTCCCAAGTTGGCATACAAAGCCTGGGTTTTTTGTGGAATGTCGTCCCATAACCCCCACAGCAAAAGCAAGGTCTGGTCGAGTTCTCAGTGCCAACCAGAGGATCTCGCCAGTGATGGCCTGGGCCTGGCGTACTAACTTCGGGTCCAACTCAGAGTCCTTTTCTTCAGGGATGTTGGATGCCATAGTTGGCGACATAGGCACAGGGCGTGTCTTGGTGCACCCATACCTTTTCACCAGTTCTTTCGCATAGGCTTCTTGGCTGACTTGAATGGATCCATTGGACCCCTCCTTGAGCTCAAAGCCGCAGAATTTGACTGCCGGCCCGTCCTTTGATATCCATTCGGGTGGTGAGCACTGCCAAATTCCTTTCACATGGTCCAGATAGGCCGCAATCACCTCGGTCTCCCCGGTGACAAGCATGTCGTCAACGTAGACCAAGATGTGACCCACCGTCTTCTCAGTGTCCCCTGCCAGCTTCTCCTTGATTCTCCAAAGGTTAGGCTCCCGGGTACCTTCCAGCCGAAAGCTTCGATTCCCCTTTGACCAAGTCCAGTGGTTCATCTCCCCATCTCGAAAGGCGCCCCAGTCACTGGGACTCGACTGTAGTCCGTATAGAGCTCGGTCTACCAACCACATCTCGTTAGATGAGCAGATGTTGGCAGAAACCAAGATTTTTGGTGGTCGAACTGCCAGTAGACCAGTGCCTCGACGAGGAGCTAACAGGAAGGCCGTCCGCACATCGATGCTTGCGCACCCCCATCCCCGGTCTCCCGCATGTCGAAGAGTGGCACGGATGGTTGCTGCGTCCGCTCCCGATGCATATGTATCCCTGCTCTTGGCTTTGTTGAGATACTCAGACAACCCTTCCTTCTCTTGGTCTTCCGTTTGAGCATCCACTGAAGCTTCTACCATGTTTCCACACACTACCAACCTTGCCTTCATTTTTCCATGAGGAGCCTTGACTGTGGTTACCAATTTACCAGGAGCGTACTCCACATCAGTTCGGTGTTTCAAGGTGTCCCGGTGGACCGGCCTTACAGCCTTGGTAATCTTGGTCAGACTTTCATACTCAGACAATATGGCCGGTCGCCACATTGCCGGATTAGCTCTGACCTCCTGGAGAGGTACGTTGTACGTTTGCAACACCTGAGAACTACCTACCATGCTGTCGCCCGCCGGAGTGGGGTTACTACCCTCTTTTTCACCTTCCACATCACCAACCTTTTTAACCCGTG